TAGCCAGTTAATCTTGTAAATCTCGCTGCAGCATTAAATGTTTCTTTTTCAAATCCTTAGTACAGCACTGTCCCGTTGGCCAGTCCTCTCTGGAAGCACCTCACAGGCATACACAGAAGGTGCTTTACTGCTTTCTGAGCGTTTCTCCATCCACTTGGGATTACTCATCACACATCCTAGCAACATTCATCGTTTTTATGTGATTAATGAATTTGAAAAGTAGCCTATGTCATCTGAAGTAATACACTTTGGTGGACAGTGACATCTTGCCTTTTTTCATATATTTATTGACCTTATAAGTTTTCTTGTCTACAAAATTCAGTTCAGCTTTTTCCCGGTTGTCTGATGTATTATCTTATTGTTTGTAGGCATTCTTATATAATTTAAATTCTAATCTTTAATTTTTGTTTTGAAAATATCTCAGTGGCTTGTTTTTCAGTGTTCTTTATTTTGATTTTTACAATTCAATTTTTATTTCATTTTTCTTATATGATAAACAAGTTCCCCGCAAGCATAAAGTTGAAATACTGACTTTTCCCTTCTCTCAAGATACCTATCAAATTTAGTGCTGTAATTTATTTGATATTTACATCATAAGATTGCACTTTATATTTCATTTTTAGTCTGTTTGGAATTGGTTTTATATATGATACAAAATAGGGGTCTAGTTTTTCGAGGATTTTTTATCTTTTTGAGACAGGTTTCACCGTACAGTTCAGACTGCCCTTGAACTTACTTTGTAACCCAGGCTGGCCTTCAACTCTCAATGGTCCTCCTGCTTCAGCCTTTTGAGTGGTGAGATTTCATGTTTCGCCACCACATCCTGGATTCAGTTTTTTTATAATCTTATTTATCTGAGAACTAGCTTCTGACTTTGTTTGCCTTTCTTTTACTATACTAATTTCTCATTATTTTGAGTTTTCCCTTGTTATTCTTTTAATAATTAGTCATGTTGACCTATTAGCTCATCACTTTACAACTTCCTTTTCCAACTAAGTTTTTAAGGCTGAAGATTTGTCTCTAAGTGTAGTATTTTAGGTATTCTGCAAATTTCTATATGTTTTTATTTGTAGTTCTTTGCATTTTTAAAATTTTCATTACAGTTTCTTCTGACCCATGAAATACTTGAAATATTTTAAAATTCTACTTTTAAAAATGTTATATTCTGTTGAGTTTAATTGTATTACAGTCATAGACAAGGAAAAACCTTATTTTAAATTCAGTGGCATTTTTATTACTATGTAGTATGTATTTTTTTGTATCTGTCTTTACATCTTTAAGAAGAAAGTTCATGGCCAGAGAGATAGCTCAGTGAAATAAGTGCCTGCCTTGCAAGTGCAGGGTCCTGAGTTCAGTCCTTGGTCCAGCAAAATAAAAGAAGAAAGTTCATTTTCTCAATTGTTTATTAAGCCTTGTCTTTGTCCTACCAGACCTGTCATTAATTGGGATGTGTTAGAATCTTCCATGACAGTCATCAGTTTGCCAGTTTTCCTTCTTTAGTTCCTGTCAACTTTTGATGTAGTTTGTCTGGACTGGCTAGAGATTGGATTTGGAAAGACTAAGAAAAAGCATGGGCTCTAAATATTATTTGGTTCATATCCCCATGTCCATCAGCTGGCCAAGCAGCATAGTTCTAGTACTGAACTGGAAGCTTGGATTTTCTGCATGTTTCTTTGGGCCAGGTGCATATGTGATATGTTAAACATTTTTTGCCATTCCTTCTTTGGGCTTCTTAACTTCAGGTCCTTGAACAGTATAGGCAAACTCTCTGCATTGAGCCACATCCCCCAGCCTTTCCACTGGTGTTTATACCCTTCTCTTGCTCGACTGCCTTGAAGTCGCCACATTTTTTCTAGAGCACTCACACCATGTTTATTTCCATCTTTTTCTTGGCTCATTCTTCTTGAGATGATTGAACTGGAGCTACTTTTCCCTCATCATTTGTGAAGGATTGCATTGTTAAAATCCAACAGAAGGATTAGGACTTCACTAAAACCTTTTTTGTTGGGAAGTCCAGTGCTTTGCTTTACCAAAGCATTCTCTTTTGGTAGAGCAGTGAGTACGTTTAGCTACTGATTAAGTTTGGGAGGTTTAGGGACTTAGGAGTTAGAGAGTTAAGTTTTCTGCCTTCCTGAGTAATTTTTTTTCCCTAGAGACTACTCATTGATCTGATTTCCTACAGAAGTGAAGGAGGTCTCAGTCTGAGATGACTTCCTGTCCTTGAACATTTCACTTCGAGGTTTCTTCACTTTGCCAGTTTGGTGCTTTCCTAAGGCCATCATTCTAGTTTTGGTTTACATAGCTGATACTTTAGTTTCTCTTGTTCATTCCATAGCTGCTCTTCTTTTTTCTGCACCTGACTCAGCAAGCTTTGTCCCTTGAGATTGAAGTTGTGCACCCAGGCTGGTAGGTCAGCAAAAGCCATCTTCCTTAGTAGTGATCTGAAATTTGGAACTTGGTTTGAATCTTTGGGATAGACCTCAATCATCACACCTATAATCATCTTGAAAATAATTGTCTTTGGAGTTCCAAAACCAATTGCTCCTTCTGTTATGTCCATCCATCTTACTGGTCTGTCCATCCTCTGTGGCCATTGTTTCTGTAGTTCACCCTATCAAATGCTTTTCTTGAAGTCTTAACTCGTATTTAATCTTTGTTGCCCCACTTATTATAGTAATCTGTATGTCTGTGGCCTTCATAATCATTATATTTGTCTTCAAAGTTATCATCATCTCTTCTGTGAGGATGGACAATCATCACAGCTGTTTGTGACAGGGTGGGCTCTTAAGTCTTTTTTTTTTTTTTGAAATCCTGGTTGTTGTCTTGGGGGCTAAAATAACAATGAATTTAGTTCTTAGAGATTCTTCTTTGAGGGCACTGAGCATAGAATCCACTACCTAAAATTTAGCATAATCAAACCCATCAGCTTTTCAGGGTAATGTAGTGATGCACTGGTAAATGTACTGATTAACCCTCTGAAGAATTCCTTCCTGGGGTTTTATATTAAACAACAGGTCCGATTCTCTAGAAAAACAATGTGAGGTGGCAATTTAAGATGATGACTGCAGTCAAGATTAGATTCCTAAGCAGCCTGTGGACCAGTAGAGAAGAGACAGAGGTCAGCGGGGGTGCCTCATATATGCTGTTGTCGTAGCTTTGCCAAGTGGCTGCAACGTCTGCTTTCAGGTCATCTGTTTTTGTTGCTTGAGCTGACTGGTTGGGATAGACATGCCTTTCCATTAGTGCTACAACATGCCGGGAGGGGTCTGTTAGTGAGATGGTCTTTCCCTTTTTTGTCTGAGGCTGCCTATTGGGAAAAGAAAATGCATAGTTATGCTTTTTCAAGCATGCAAATTTAGAATTTTATATCTGCTTACTGAATTGAGCCTTTTATTCTTTTTTCTTTTAAATATGCATTTTATCTGTTACTATAACTCATCTAAGCTGCATTTTTATGTTTGACTCTGGTATGTCCTTTTCCTCATTTTTGCTTTCATTCTATTAGTATCTTCATTTTGTAAGATTTTTTAAATCTTACTTTCAAGAGGGCCAGCCAGATAGCTCAGTGGATTAAAGCACCTGCTTAGGCAGATGCAGGGACCAGGGTTTGATCCCCAGCATGCTGTGCTGGCCCTACCCCCAGTGCCTGCTGAGTGAGACAGCAACTGAGATTGGGCGTGCTGGTGCACTGTAATCCCAGCGCTTGGGAGGCTGAAAACAGGAGGAGCACAGCAAATCCGGTCTAGATAGTGAGACCCTGTAGACCCTGTACTAAAATCATATGAAAGAAAAAAAAAAAAAAAAACAACTTACTTTTGATCTTGTGTATTTTTTAAAAATCATTTTTGTATTTGGATTCTGTGTTTTCTCATAGTCTTGGTTATTCATCCCACCTGCCATCCTTTTTAGCTTTTTTTGGATTATTTTTTATTCTCTCCTATGTTTTAGAAATTATACTCTTATTTCTATTCTTTATAACTGACTTTAAAAATCTACTAAATGGTGATGGTGAACCTGTTATAGATGAGTGTACAAGCTGCAGCCCAAAACCCACTTATTCATGCTGAAAAGTGCCAGCACTGCCCTAGAACTTGAATGCTGAAGTTTCATTTAGAAAAAACAACTCATAAATGAATAGCTTTTGTCTTAAAACAAAAACACAGTAATACGCATGCCATGGGTTCATGACCGCTAGACTATACCATACATGCTCAGGTTTAGCATAAGGCATAAGGCCTCTGCTGAGCGGTGTAGGAATTTACTTCATTAACTGCTGTCCTCTTTATCTCAGTCTTGCCCTTCCATATGGAAGCACCATAATAGGATGTTATTATTGTTACTTTATACAGTGGTTATTTATATTTACTTGTAGTGATTTCTTTACTTTTCTTTCTTCTCAGATCATCCTTTTGTGGTGTTTCATGAAACACACCCTTTAGATTTTCAGTGATGAAAACTGCTATTCATAAACACTTCTGGCCAAATAACTGAGCAGATTAAAACACCTGCAAGCAGGCATAGGGGCCGGGGGGTTGATCCCTGGGCCTGCCGTACAGGCCCCACCCCCAGGGCGCACTGAGACAGTGATTGAGACTGGGTGTGGTGAGCAGGCCTGTAATCCCAGCTCTTGGGAGGCTGTAAACAGGCGGATCACATGAGTCCTATCTAGTAGTGAGGCCCTGAAGAACCTTTAGACCCTTCTCTAAAATGCAAATAAATGAATAAACAAACAAGCACACACTTTTGGTCACTTCTTGCTTGACCCAGTGCTTCATGTCCTGATCCCAGTGCTGCCAGCGTGCAACATATAGCCAAGGCAACACTTAGATTTACTTACTTATTTTTGTTTGCTGCTCACTATTCATTGCTTACTATTATTTCAACTCCCTTTAAGTCTTTTTTGTTTGATTGGTTTTTATGAGGTGGTACAAGCTTGATAATTTTTCATACTTTTGAGACTGTAGCAGAACTTGAAAAATACTCCATTTGTTTCAGTTTATCCAGGACCTGTCTGTGTTAAAGGACAGTCTTAACCTCATGCTTGCCAGGCAGGCATTATGCCACAGAGCTGTGTCCTTGGCTCCCAACCGAAATTGTAAAGGACAAAGGGCAAAAACTAGTACTCATGTGGTTCAGATAATAAATATTAATTTATCCATTTATATGTTTATCTTTGAATCAACACATAACCCTGGATTCCTAGTACTATCATTTTATTTTGCTCACAGTGACTCAGGTAGGACTTACTGGCCATATTCTTCAGTAGTTCTTCTCACACTGAGTTTTCATTTTAAATGGAGCAATGGAGCTCTGTGAACTTACCAACATATAATGGGGGGATAATAAGCATAGATTTTACTGAATAATTTTAATGATCTTGAAAATTACAGTCTTTTTTCTAATAGGTTGAAAAATTATTGATTTTCTAGGTTTAAGCTGAATTTTGGGAGATGGCCACTGCTTCACCCAGGTCTGATACTAGTAATAACCACAGTGAAAGGTTACAGTTACAGGTGACTGGTAAGTGATTTTCACAACTTAATGTATTGATTTTCTTGAAACTTTTTAAATATCTAATTCCCCAGACTTATTCCATAAGTAATACTCTTAGGCATTGTTGACCTTGGATATGTTTTAAGTGCACCAGATTTTAGTGCCTTTCTTCCCTTTGCCTTTACCTTCTTATTTTGTTTAAAGTTTTTTTTTAAAAAAAAACCAGCTTATAAAATACACGGTCCTTATTTCATAGTATCTTCTGCAGAAAATACTATTATTCCTATTGGTCAGTGAGGAGATTGAGAATCAGAGGAAGTACCTTTTAATAATGGGAAACTAACTGAAGGTGTAGGATTTAAAGTTGTTATTCCTGGGCTGGCGAGATAGCTCAGTGGATTAAAGTGCCTGTTTAGGTAAGCGCAGGGACAGCAGTTTGATCCCCAGCATAGCGCGCTGAGCAGGCCACAGAGTCCTGGCGTGGTGGCACATGCCTGTAATCCCAGCACTGGGGAGACTGAAAGCAGGAGGATCACTATGAATCTGAGCTGTGTAGTGAGACCCTATGACAATCAAATACATTAAAAATAAATTAATAGTTGTTATTCCTTTTATTAGCTAACAGTGATCTGTGTATTGATTTTTCTTTCATTTTTGAGAATGATCAGATAGTATCATTATAAAATCGGTTACTATAGTTAGGCAGATTACTGCCTATAAACTGAAGTAACTCAATTATTTTTAAAATCCTAATTTATTTTTGTTATTCATATATGTATTCTTATTTTAATTCCTGTTCTTATCTCATATTTGATTGGAAACAAATAAAATAAGAATCAGGAGAAGTGGGCTGCAGGTAAAGCTTAAATGGTAGAATGCTTACCTGAGGTCTTGAATTTGAATCCCTAGCACTTGAGCTTGAAAACTAATGGACTCTTTGCAGTTAGAATTTCTTAGCTGTTGTGTTTTATACTACTAGATTTCACTTTGTAAAAGAAAAGATTTAAGTCGTGTGTTATATTTTCGTACTAGTGGTGTGAAAGATCTGTTCCTGTTGAGTTAAAATGTCACCATTATGTAATAATATTTTATGTATTTTGTTCTCTTCACCTTTCTTACATCACTGTCAGATTGTCTTCATTATTTTCATTTTAAAGTACTTAAAGATTTGGAGAAACTGCTCAAAATGAAATTCCTTTTCATTTTGAACACATTTATGCCTTCACTATTCACTACTCTTTTTTTTTTTTTTTTTTTTTTTTTTTTTTGAGTTGCCTTCCCTTTTTCTTAGCCCACTGCACAAAGCCAAAAGTTCATGTTTTTTTAAAGAAGTATTAAACTGAGGATAATTGAAATTTTTGTGTTACCAAGTGATTCTCTTTAGGTCTTTTATACCCATCATTATGATTGTCTTCATACTAGAGTTTTCGGAGAGGTTATTGCAGAGGAGGTTTTTGTTCATGCTGTTCTTATGCAGTGTGTCACTGTGCGGCTCAGGCTGATTGAGCTCATCGTGTGGCCCAGGCTGGCCTCAGCCTTGCAGCGATTGTTCTTCCTTAGTGTCTGACATGCTCACCGGGATTGTAGGTGTGCACCACCACCATGCCTGGCTGCAAGTGAGGTTTTAAAATTAACATTTTCCCCCCTCTTTTGATGTTTTGGGATATTTATTTTGTATATAACCCTATAATGGAGGACATTGTATATAATACCAGAAAAAACTCATTGAAGAATAAAGTTTGTAATTCGTATTACTATAGGAAAATGACGCACATTAATTTTTTTTTTTTTCGAACTGCAGTTTTATTGTTAATTCAAGAATGAACCTACCTTTAACAATCATTGCAGTAGTGGGAGAGAAGGAATCCTAACAAGTGGGTCAGAGTACTGCCTGCTTTGTCTCTGGCTCTGGGAGATCTAAGAAGTTCTTAAAGCAGTTTGCCTCGGTCACTGTTCATGTTTTTGTTTTAAGCATGAAATACCAGAAAATATGGTGCCAAAAAATTATAAGTATATATATCAATTTTTTAGCCTCAAGTGTTCTCCTTTTTTTATGTATCTTTAGCTTCTAATCCTTTGCCATTGAAAACTGAAATCTGAAATATTAAAAATAAAATATATCTTATGTTCTAATAAGCACTACCATTTGAACTACCTTTTGATTTAAAGTCATAGTATTATAGTGATTTATGGGCATGCTTTTTTACCAGCACGTTTTAAACTCCTTCTGAGATTAAAAATTATCCTTTGAAAATCTCTTCCCTTCCTTTGCCACCTTCTAGTATTATTGAGCATTTTGCCAGTTAATGGGATGTGATGGGCCTGCAGTTACCTCAGAAAGTAATACTATTTAGGTACTATTGTTCCCCTGTATTTCTGCTGGCAAGACTGAGATGCAGAGAAGTTAGTTGATGTGCGCAAGGTCAGATTTCTGGTGACTGACAGTTAAATATGAATTTAGGTCTTTGGAGCTGTGGTTTTAGCACTGTCCTATACTGCCTTCTTCTTCCTATTTTCTCGTAGTACATGGACAAAACTTGTGTATAACAAGAAAATTATACTTTTACTTGGGATGAAAAATATCGTTTGGGACATTTCTTCAGAAAAAGCAAGTCTAAGCCTTTTTCATCAGTCCATTGGTGTTAGACTAACGCAACTTGGAACAGGGAAGGATGTGGGTTTTGCTATGCTATTGATAGTAAAACTTCAGGGTATAATTGATTGTGATTGTGCTGTTGCCAGTACTTAAGTACAGTGTTTGTTTTCAATCTTGTTATTCTTCAGATGGTGAGAGCTACTGTATTTCAAACACTGTAGCTGGTGAAGTGCTTATGCACAGTGTACTTCACTGATACACTGTGACTGTTCTCTCACAATACAGTGGGAGTTCCATAATTTATTTGTTTTCATGCACTTTACATACTGTATGTGTGACATGAGACTTTCCACCTTCTTCTCAAGACCTAGGATGTTCATAATTGATTTTATTAGTTGTAAACACTAAATTCACATTTTTAGCATAATATTTTGAGTAATAAGCTTAAATTTCATTTTCTTTGAAGGGTGGTAAGTAGGCTCTCACATTTTGGTTGTAAGTTTTTAGTTGAGAAAATCATTATTTTTTGTTTTAAAACAGCTTTTCAGATTTATAAAATGCCTTTTATATGATGAATACTACTTGGCAGGAATAATACTACACATGTTGAATGGGAAGACTTTTTATTTTTCTTTTTGACCATTGATTTAAATTAGGATTAAATTCAAGTGATGGGTAAAGAGAGAAATCAGAACCTCACAGACTTGGACAGGACTATGGAGTGGTACAGCTACTTTGGAAGTAGTAACCTGGCATTTACTCACCAAAAATTTACTATGTTAACAAGGAGTTTGATTTCTTGTATGCCCAGTGGAAGTGAAAACATGTTCACTTAAAAAATAAAAAGTACTCAAATATTTATACAGGCTTTCATTAGGCAAAGTAGATAAAATATGGCACTGCTGTAGTGTAGAATATTTGGCAAAGAGAGGAATGAAATACTGATGCATGCTACAACGTGGCTCAAACCTGAAAACACTGCTGAATGAAGGAGGCAGCCACCAGGGCCCGCGTGAGACGCCGCTTATATGAAATGTCCAGAAGGGCCCGTGTGTACAGACTGACAGACGGGTGTTTCCTGCATGGGAGGGTGTGATGCGGGAGGCTGGCAGAAGTAGGCAGGCCACTGCTTCATGGCTCTAGTCTCGTGGGGCCTGACAAAAGTGCTCTAAAATTTGGGTGGTGCTTGCACTACTCTGGAAATCTGTTAACGCTATGAGCTGTACAGTTTAAATGGATGATTGGTATATAAATTATATTTCAATAAAACTTACAGAAAAACCCAAAAGGCTCTTAGGCATTATCAGTAGCCCTGTTGTACTGTTTCTTCATTTTACCAGTAAAAGAGTTTCTACTTGCACGAGAAGTACAGTTTTATTTTTGTTGGTTTATTAGTAGGCAATACTACTTTTTGGCTACTCGTATTCACTAGTGATTATTATTTTTCTGTTAGTTTCTAGTGCCAAACTAAAAAGAAAAAAGAACTGGTTTGGAACAGCAATATATACAGAAGTAGTTGTAGATGGAGAAATCAAAAAAACAGCAAAATCCAGTAGTTCTTCTAATCCAAAATGGGATGAACAGTTAACTGTGTAAGTATATTATATAAAGGGTGCAACATATTAAAAAGAAAGTGTACTTTTTATGTTTCATATTTATAGGACAACTCCAAAGTGAAGTGTTTTTCTAAGGTGAATAGATGATTTAAACTATGAAACATCTTTAGTTAACTTCATTCTTTAAAAAAAAGCATAACCTGGACATGGTGGGGCATGCCAGTAATCCCAGCACTGGAGGCTGAGGCAGGAGGATCCTTGCAAGTTCAAGATCAGCCTGGGCTACAGACTGAGCTCAAGGCCAGCCTGAACTGCATAGTGAGACCCTGTCTCAAAAAAAAAAAGTAAGCATAATACTTTTTGCTTTTATTTTATAAACTAAATTACATCCATATAATACTTTTTTCTCTGAATGTCTTGGTATAGAAATAATGATCCTTAATTCTGGCACTTCTAAAATAATAATAGTATGAATTTGTATATAATAAATGTATTATAACCAGCGTCATCCATTTTCTTTGTTTCATTATTCATTTATTTATTTAACTTTTTAGACAAGGTTTCACTGTGTAGTTCAGAATGTCCTTGAATTCACTGTGTACCACATGCTGGCCTAGAACTTGAGGTGATCCTCCTGCCTCAGCCTCCCATATTCTGGGATTACAGGTGTGCTCCACAATGCTTGGCCACCAGTTTTCTTATATCTTGAAAAACTTGATCCACTTGAGTATTGTGAACTCTCAGTAAGACTCTCAAGTGTATCACTGGTATTTTAGCTTGCCAGATAAACATTCTAATCTAGTTACTAATGTCCTAATGTATTTGAAAGTGAATATTATTTTTTCATAATTCAGATAATTTACTATTTAGTATAACATTAAACTGAATTTCTGGTGGGGCATGAAGTAAGTGGTTTAAATGAATTACCACTCATAGTAATGCTACATCCTTGTGTATTTTTACTACAATTCTGTCCTTACAGAAGTGTGACACCACAGACTACACTGGAATTTCGAGTTTGGAGTCATCACACTTTAAAAGCAGATGCTTTATTAGGAAGAGCAACTATAGATTTGAAACAAGCTCTGTTAATGCATAATAGAAAATGTAAGTTTTTCTTTCACATACCCTGAAATCTAAAAGCAAAATAATTTTGTATTCATAAGGGAGAACTTCAGTTTTACTTACGTTTGTGTCATTATATAAAATAGGTGAAATTTACCGACCTTTCTATGTTCTGCCTACAAAACGATGTCATCCATTCACAATTATGTTATCAGTCACCACCAGTCATTTATTGTTTACTGAGTCATTCACTGAGTCTGTTCTACTTTGTTACCTAACAAACAGTTTTAGTTGTGTAAAATAAATACTAACTTGAAAAAAAATTTTTTTTCAGTGTATAGCTGTTCTTTGAAGCAAATAGAATATGGAAAGTCATAGTGTAGTTTAGAAACTATCTCTGTCTGTTCAAGAACAACCACACATAATTTGGTCTCTTTTTCTTGTTCATGGACATAAACATTTTCTTTTGTTCTTTGTGTTTGTTAATAATTACTATGAACATCATGTTTCCACAGCAGAAGATTTTTCCAGCCTGGGGATTTTTTTTTTTTAAGAGTAGAATATATTTGTTGGGGGAAAGAAAGCTTCCATCCCAGCAGAGGGACAGAAGGGGACCCGAGCAAGTTGCCCTATCCTAGAAATTCTTAAAGTATTTTAGGCTATTTTATTTGCATACCTCCTAATACTGGATATAAAAAAAAAAAAAAAAAAAAAA